ATTCCACGGCTAAAAATGAATAGAAGTCATATTTTAAACTCTTTTTAGTCAGTTAAAAAAATGAATATTGACTTAGACACATGAAAATTTATTTAAAATATTTCCTTAGTAGAAAAATAAATTTATTTCAGTAATTTTTATGGTTTCAAAAGTGACGGTTACTCTCATTTTTGCTTGATAAAAAAAATAATTATTGTAAAATGTTTTAGTTAAATTAACATTTATGTTAAATTGCTATATTTTTTTGGTTCAAATTGATAAGGTTGAATAGACATTTTATTTGAAATTAAACTAAGACAGGGCTCGAATTAACGCAAAAAAATCTAATAGCAAAAAAATTTTTTTTTTTTTTTTTGCTTCCCCTCTCTCTCTCTCTCTCTCTCTCTCTCTCTCTCTCTCTCTCTCTCTCTCTCTCTCTCTCTCTCTCTCTCTCTGGGGGAAATGGGGAAAAATTATTGTCAATAAATCAAAAAACATTGTCAAAAACTTAATAAAAAATTAGATACCACGTTTTTTATAATTTATTGTTTCTTGAATAAAGGACTAATAAAAGTTTAAATATAATTAAGTTTTTCATTTAAATGGTTGATGTTTTTGTTTAATTTTTCTATTTGAAGTTTTCCAATAAAAGATGAAACAAAAAAATTTGGTTTAATAAATCGAATTATACTTCATGTTTAAAATAAGGCTTAAAAACGTTAAAGTAAAAAAATTGCTGGTTTTTATTAGTTTTTTTATACTGTTTGAAAAAAAAAAACTAATAAAAAAGATTTAACTAATAATACATTAATTAATAATTATTAGAATTAATAATAATAACAATTAATTCTTTTTTATTAGTTTTTTTTTTCAAACAGTAAAAAATGCAAATAAAAGTCAGTAATTTTTTTGCTCTAACGTTTTTAAGCCTTATTTTAAACATGAAGTTTTGATAAACAAAGATAAAAACCAGCTTTTCAACTTTTCGCTTTAACGACCTTGTAAAAATTTTCCACACAGAGATTTAAAGTAATTTAAATTCAAAAATGTTTTACGTTAAAAGAAAATCTCAGCGCAAAAGAGCAAATCATCTATTCATCTATCTATTCAGAATAATAAATTTTGTGTGACGTTCTTTATGATAAAAACATTACTTTTAAGAATTGCTAAAAAAAATGCTATGCTAGAAAAAAAGTAATTAATCAACCAAAAAAAAAACAAGTCGCAAAAAGATTTTTTTTAAGGAAAAACTAATCACAGAAGTGTGTGTAGCAATCGCGATCGCGATATGCTTAATATGAGCCCTGTAAGACTTTTAAACTATTAAATAATAAGTTTTAAACTATTTAAAACTATTACTTTTAACGACTAACAATCGAGTTTCAATGGTATAAAAATAAAATCAAAATGGAGTTGTTTTTTAGTGATTTCAGCAATTGCTTTTTGTTAGCATGCATTTATTATTACAATTTAGTGAAAAAGAAAAAAAACTTACATATTTTTTTTTTATGTTCTTTCATATGAGATCATATGTTAGGAGCACTTAGGGATCCCTTTAATAATTTGCTCCTTGTAAACAAAGAACACAGCTATGCATAAACTAAAATTTTAAAGACCTAATATTTTATAAGAGTGTTCAAATCGTGATCGTATAATTTAACTCTTGATAAAAATTTGTTACATTATAATTATACAAATATATTTTACAAACAGGTGGCGATACATATTTTCTCTTTCGTCTTTAAAAGAAAAAACACATAAAATATGGGAAAGTCATCCTTTTTAACGCCAAAAACCGTTTTTTTTTTTGTTTGTTTTGCTTTGACTTAATGAATTTTGTTGCCGATAATAATAACCACTAAGAAAAAACAAAAATAAAAACAACACACAAATTATTTAAACTATTGTTATTGTTTTCTATTTAAGTTTATTTTAATTTCTTATGTAGTTATTAAATTTAAAAACAATTATTCAGTAACACATATAACATAACTTGCAAACGGCCATGATCACGTTCTCTAACTTGAAAAACGTTTTCGTGGTTGTACGAGACGAAAAACCGCACACCTTTCCTGGGAAGGCTTGTATACTAAAAATTTATACATACATTTACTCTTTATTAAATACTATTAAATTTTTTTTTTTTAACTAATTCGCAAACTACCACTCTTAATAAGTTATTAAAAAACAAAGGATATATTTAAAGAGCAAGGAAACCATTGACAGAAAACTTAAAAGGTTGTGAGTTGAATGAGTTGGTACAGTAAAAGTATGCAACTTTGCTGAATGAGTCAAATGAGAATGAGTTTTGGTTGATCAAAGTAGAGATAATATCTCATTTGAGCAGCAACCATGATAGTATCAGTAGAAAAGAGGAAAGAGATGTAACCTTACAACAATGGGAGAGTGGCGCAAGTTTGTCTGAGAGTAAGAGGGTTACTTTTTTTTCAATATAGGAGTGAAAACAATATTGTGATAGGAGTTATTTGCAGCAAATAACTGATTTTTGTTGAAGTTAAAATCCACAAGCCATTTAAAGCCCCAAACTGTTATAGAAGAGAGATCAGATTTGACTGCTTATTCTAAACAATCTAAAAGTGAAGACTTTTTGTCAAAACAAGAGTATAAAGTTGGTTTGTCAACAAATATCTGACAATGAGTTAATCTGTTTCACTGGAATGGCAAAAAGAGTATGGTCATAAGATTTAAGACTCAAATTAGAGGAAATATTTTTTCTAATAATTCTGCCTTATCCTTGGGAGAGGTTATAAGATCAGACCTATTCCAGAGATCGAATCCTTGGGAGAGGGAGACCTATTCCAGAGATGGAATGTAAGACTTACATGACACCTTTGTTAATGTTGAAGATTTTCCAAAAGTCTTTAGAGTCTAACTTCTGAGATAAGATACAAAATTTAGTAAACTGAAAATAACTGAGCTTAGCATCAGAAAGCATCTTTTTACAATGATTTCTTGCAATAATAAAAAGACATTTGTTTTCAAGTGAGATGTTGTCAAAAAGATGAAAAAGCTTACTTCAATTTAATATAGCAACTGTACAAATCGTGCAGTAGAATTAGCCATGACTTAAAAGCTTCCATATCTGCCTGCATCCAGCAGGTTAAGTAAGAGGTGCATTTATGATACATTATATGGATATAAACAAATGTTTGCTATTTATTTATATGTTGCTATATAGATTTAACCGCAGCAACATTTTTAATCATATCTTAGAGAAAACTGCTCATGGAAGCAGCAACAGAACATTTTGAGATGACATCAAGTCTGTATTGAATAATTGATGTAAACTTATTAAATTTATCAAATTGTAAACCGTTTGTAGCTCCATATTGCAAAAGCATGTTTTTGAACAAGAGAATAAAAAATTGATGCTAAAATATGACATTAGAAATTAATGGAACTCTTTGGTTCCAATGATTCAAAGGTTGTTATAATAATAACCTTGCATTCAAAATGTATTGTTATAACCTTGCATTCAAGAGCAGTTTTTAACATTGGATCTAAAAAGTTTTTATGAGGAAGTCGATTGGCAAGATTTGTCATTTAAAGCTTACCTTTAACGAACCTTTAAAGAGATACTCAAGTAGTTTAAGCTGTTTGATGCAAGCGAGTTTGAACAGCGAGTTTAAATAAGATTGATGGTACTCTTGAAAAATTTCATCAACATACATCAACATCGGCGAAAGAACGTTTTCTGTTGCTGGTAACTTTTTAACTAAGTTTCTAAGTCAGGTTAATTTTTATATATTAAATGCATTAATATTTTTAAAAAATTATTTTTGAAGAATAAAATTATTGAATTAATACTTATTGGGTTAAATATTTGAAATACTGGAAAAACTTCTTAAATATTTGAAATACTGAAAAGTAAAATAAATAGGAAAAAAAAACATCTGTAAATTTTTAAAATAAAATTTTCTAATGATTAGGCTTTTAATTTTTTTAATGTTTTTATAGATACTGTGCAATAGCTGTTTATACCAGTATTGTACTATTTTAAATACTGAAAACCGGTATTATAATTTTCTGGTATTTTCTATTATAATTTTAAAAATTCTACTGGCATACAATGTCCTTACATATTTAAATTAACTTTATTATTTATATGGTGTTTTTATTTGCCAAAAGAGATGATGAAATAATGGGTGTGTGGTAACTCTAACAAGACAAGAAAAGAAGCGACTATATTAGACAAAGATTAGAAATAATGAGGGTATTAAATAAAGTTTGTCAGAGGTTTGAAGATTAAGGTCGTTTAGTATCAGCATATAACGAGGTAGCAACTTTAGGAGAAAAGGGTAGATGTAGAAGTAAGGAAACTTGGAGAGAGTGCATGAACAATTGATACATCCTAAAACATAAAGTTTGAACAAAATAATATATTTTTAGGGTGTATCAATGTTTATGCAGCCCCCATTATAAACCAGACCTCTGCTATTTTATGAAACCTGACCCCAGTCAAATATTAAGTATTTACTAAGTATGGCAGATTTTCTTTATAGCTTGTGATATAAACTCTAATGAATTTTTTAATGTTTTATTGCATTAAAGTAGCTAAATAAATAATAATTTTTCAAAATATCAAAAACTTAAATTCTGTTAAATATAAAACAAACAATAATAATTTCTTTTTTAAAAGTGTGAGCAGTTTTTATGCTTTTACTTACAAACCCTCATGTGTGTACCTCCTCCTTGTGTATTGTGTTCTCATGTGTGTACCTCCTCCTTGTGTGTAGTTTTCTCCTGTGTGTACCTCCTCCTTTCCTTCAAATATGCACATACATACACCTTTTTATGCACACAATACTTTGTTTTGACAACTTGGCCATGGCTCTTGGCAAGTTTTAATAATTAGCACTTTTAAAAAATCCACTAAAAAAAGCAAAGCAAACTTAAATTAAAATAAACAATCCATAAACTAATAAGAGAGGTAATAATAATATTTAATCTAAAAAAATAATACAAAAATTAAAATCTTGAAGAATAACAAAATAAACAGAAGAAAAACCAAAAAACATTGAAACATTATTTAATGTTAAGTTAGCTGTATGTGAAAGTTAAAAAATAATTTATCACAGCTCTATCAATCTTTATTATTCCCTCCCATAAATTAATAGGCTACTACAAGGGCAGATCCATACTGAAAGGGAGGAGCATGAGGTTCTCTTTATTTATTTTTTTAGAAATCAATATATTTAATACAGCACAATGTTTAAAAACGCAAGTAATTAAAGCTGTTTTAAAGTGCCGTGAAATCTAACAACATTTTGTGGTGCAAGTTTTAAATTTTATAAAAAAGTTATTAGGATAGTTAAAAAATGGTTTGCAATTATTTCAAGATTTTTGTAGTATGTTTTTTTATATTTAGGGTGCTTTTTTCAGCAATGAAATTCAATGCAAGGAATAAGTCAGATGTGTCTGAAATTTTTTAAAATCTATTTGTAAAATATATTTATGTATTTGTAATGTAAAAAATTTTTTTATAAGAAATTTTTTTATAAGAAATTATATTTCCACAATAAAACCGTTGTAATGATTTTTTTATTTCACTTCTTACCTCTTGTCTTAAACTCTAATCTGATTATTTTTTTCAATGGCCTTTTGTTACATTGCAATAAAGTAATCAGGAAACTTTGTAGCAGTTAAATTGTAATTACAGAATCAATTAAATCAAAAAACACATTGTTTGTTTTAAAAAGGTATTGACACAATTGGAAGCTTGGATGAAATTGTTTCCTTAAGTTTGTCTAATTTTCAATGTAATATAATAAGAATTAAAAATTTGCTTAAAAATTTTATTAATTACTTTAAAGTTATGTTATATTACAAATATATAAATAAATTTTTAAAAATTTCAGACTCATCTGTTTTGTTTCTTGGCTTGCATCAAATATTGTTGCTGAAAAAAGCACCCTGAATATAAAAAAAACATAATAATTGCAATAATCTTGAATTATCGCATCCATTATGGATCCGCTCTTGTGTTAGTCTTTTTATTTAATGGAGGGAACGATAAAGATTGATAAAGCAGTGATAAATTGTTTTTTAACTTTTTCTTCCAATTAACTTTTTTACTATTACAATAAATTTTTTTTACATTAAATAATAAATGTTTTGATTTTTTCTGGTTTTTCTTCTGTTTATTTTGTTGCTCTTTAAGATTTTAATTTTTTTAGTTTAATTTTTTTTTTTTAATTTTATTCTCTTTTCAGTTTATGGATTATTTTAATTTAAGTTTGCTTTGATTTTTTAAATCCGCTAATTATCAAAACTTGCTAAGAGTCGCGGCCATGTTGTCAAAACAAAGTATTATATGTATGGTCATTAAAGGCATGTAACCGCACGCCTCTTGTGCGAAGGCCTAATACTTATGAATATACTTTACTTGTGAATCTGACACAAGATTTTTATTATGGATTACTTTAGAATTTACCTAAAGAGCATTTTTCTCATCACTTTTCTAGCAGTCAATCTTTAGAATTTACCTAAAGAGCATTTTTCTCATCACTTTTCTAGCAGTCAATCTTTAGAATTTACCTAAAGAGAATTGCTATTTTCCTCATCACTTTTCTAGCAGTCAATCTTTAGAATTTACCTAAAGAAAATTGTTATTTTTCTCATCACTTTTCTAGCAGTCAACCTTTAACCTAAAAAATGAAATTAAATTTGTTTTCTTTTGTATCTGTACTTTTTAGAATTTTTTATTTAAGGTTTTTTTATAGTAAAACAGTTTTTTTTTTTTTATTGAGCATAGTAACAAACTTATTTTCTTTATACATAATAATGCAGTTTTTTGCTTTATTCATAATAATGCAGTTACTTTATTTATACATAACACAATTTCCTCATACATGGTAATGCAGTTATTTATGCATTGTATCATTCTGTTGTTTAGCTCCTGAAATGTCAAATGAGTCTAAATCATTGCGGTTCCAGCAGAAAGGTGATTTATGTGATGGTTTAGAAGAATCTTGTAAACAAATGACAGAAGCAGTGGTATCCTATCTCAATGGGGAATTGACAGGTTTTGAATTTTGAAAACATTTTTACTCACAAAAAAATTCCTTTTAATACTAATTTTTTAATATAACAATGGTTTCAGAATACCAACTTTTATTTTTTAATATAGCAATGGTTTCAGAATACCAACTTTGATTTTTTAATATAGCAATGGTTTCAGAATACCAACTTTTATTTTTAGCCACAGTTTCAGACTACCAGCTTTTAACCAAAATGAATACTTTAGCAGCTGACAAGTATCAGGAAATGTCATTATCAACAAACACTTTAATATCAAAAATGGTTGAGCTTAATGAATCATGTATGTTTATTTTATTGCATTTAGTTTTAATCTTCTTTTTTTTTTCAAGTTAATTTTTATTTGTTTGTTTTAAGATAAGTTGCTTCAACCTTACTTGATACAGATTGATTTATTGGAAGAGAGTGTTAATACATTAGAGCAAACAGCTTACAAGTTAGATTCATATTCAAAGCAGCTTGGTAATTTTTCTAGTAATTAAACTTTTTTTTTTTTCATCCATGAGATTTTAGTACCACTTATTTTTATTAATAAAATGATATCTGATTGTACTTATCTCAATAATTTTCCATTTCTATTATAATATCAATAGGTTTTTAATATTACTTATTATCTCAATAAGTTTATGGTTTTAATTATTATCTCAGTAAGTTTATGGTTTTACTTATATCTCAATGTTCAGAGTTTCTGATTGTGCTTATTATCTCAATAAGTTTATGGTTGTAACTTTTTATCTCAAATAATTTCCTACGGAAATTTATTGAGATAATAAGTTACAGCCATAACTTTATTAAGATAATAAGCCCGTAGGAAGAAAAAAGGTCTGTAGGAACAAAAATTATATAGGGGAGGGGAGGCAATACAACTGAATAGGTCAAATAGTAGTAGGTCAAAATTTTTTGTCAATAGAACTTCCACTGAAAATAAGGATAACAAATTAGGTCCTTTCTATCTTTTTTTTTTTTTTTCTGAATCTGTAATCATTTGCTTTTTTCTAAAAAGTATCTTCAAAATTATTTATTTAAAAAAACTATTGGAGGGAGGGGGAGGGGTAAATGCCCTGCTCCCCCCTCTATCCCCTCGGTTGCTACAGGCCTGTAATATACATATTTTTAATTTTTTGAAAAAAATTTTTTCTGCATTTTAAAAAAAAGAATTTCATAATTATATTTAGTTTTACAATTTACATAAATATTTTGAATATTTAGAATAAATTAAAAATTATTTAGTCTCAGCAAATCAGCTGTATACCATGCATTTGTTTTTTGTTTTTGTGTAATAATAATACATATAATAGTTTCATAGTAACTCAACCGTGATTGAAAGCCGCAACCTTATGATAATAGGGGAGAGGCTCAAGCTTCTCCAATAGTGCAGGTCCAACTATGTTTGCAATGCATTTTGGACCTTGTTTGAAAAAAAAGAGCATCGTTAGAAGAATTAGCCCAAATATGACGACAATATTCCGTACAGGGATGAATAAGAGAATTGTAGAGGTAGAGAATGGTGAACTATGTTAGAAAGTAGGAGTAAAAAAATGGCAAGCACGATAGAGAGAAACAACCTTAGCAGATGCTAACTAAGCAAATGATTGTGTATAAGGTTTTCTTGAGAGTTCAGTAGTAAATGATAAACCAAAAAGTCATAAAAGCGATAACTCAGTGAAAGGGTTGCTATTTATCAATATATGAATGTTGACAGTATTTCAATAGTTGTTTGCAATAAATAACTGTGTTTTGTTGCAGTTAAAATTCACAGGCCTCTGCAAACCCCAACAGTTATAGAATGAAATTCTGTTATAGAATTGAAATCAGATTTAAGATCAGCAACCTGTTCAAGAGATCAAAAAGAAAAAACTTTTTGTCTAGACAAGAGTATAAAGTTGAGTTATCAGCAAATAGAGCCACTTTAGATACAAGATAGTCAAGAAGATTGCTAGTGTAGATAAGAAATAAAACAGGATCAATGTTATACCCCAGAAGTTACTGGAAATGAAGAAGTTAGAACGATTTGAATGTCTAACAATGGGTTAACCTGTTTAACTGGAATATAAGGTAAAGTATGACCATAAGATTCAAGAGTTGAATTAAAAAAAACTCTTTGCAATTTACTGGAAATGAAGAAGTTAGAGCGATTTGAGTGTCTAACAATGGGTTAACCTGTTTAACTGGAATGGAAGGAAAAGTATGACCATAAGATTTAAGAGTTGAATTAGAAAAAACTCTTTGCAAATAGTTCATCCTTATCCTTGGGAGAGGTAATAAGATTCCATGAATGAGAGATGGACTGTTAGACCTACCTTTTTTATTCAAGTTTGTTGTTTTCACTTTTAAGTGTGTTATTTTTACTCTTTCTAGAAATATTACAATTTTATGTTTTTTCTTTTCTTTCTAGAAACTATTAAATGCAAAACCTAACCATTAGGAACCATTAGGTTTCATGTTTAAAATGTTTTTAACTTTTTTTGGATGTATGAAATACTCTCAGGTTATTTTTTAATACTTCATAAAATATGAAATACTTCACTTTCATTACATCATAAAATATATTAGGTTGCTTTCATTACATCATAAAATACTTTAGGTTGCTTTCATTACATCATAAAATACTTCAGGTTACTTTCATTACATCATAAAATACTTTAGGTTGCTTTCATTACAACATAAAATACTTTAGGTTGCTTTCATTACATCATAAAATACTTTAGGTTGCTTTCATTACATCATAAAATACTTCAGGTTACTTTCATTACATCATAAAATACTTTAGGTTGCTTTCTTTACATCAAAAAATACTTCAGGTTACTTTCATTACATCATAAAATACTTTAGGTTGCTTTCATTACATTATAAAATACTTTAGGTTACTTTCAGGCATGATTCTAATTCTAAACTTGTGTGCATTTGTGTCAATAAAAAAAACTTTGCTAAAAATTGAGGTTATTAGGAGTTTTGGCCTAAAAATAACCTTAAACATGTTCCTGCAATTTTAACATACTATGAATCAATTAATCTATTAATGAATTAGTTGATGAATGAATGCTTTTAACAAAATTAATTAGCATCATGTGATAAAACATAAATATTGTAGTTGTAAAGTGCTGGCCATGTAAATAAGAGGTATGGAAATGGAACCCCATTATGTTCAAGTGCTCAATTTTTTTTCTTTCACTCAGCAGTCTTTATGTCAAGACTTGTGTGAAAAGAAATTAAAAAAGACAATTCATAAAAATGAGTAGTCTCTTTGGCTATTTGCATCTCAGTTTTTTACAGCTTGGGTGAACATAAATTACCAAAAAAAATTAGCGTATTAAAAACAATAAGTGTCCTTTTCATAATAAACAGTTTTATATGCTTTAACTATATAAATTTATTACTTATTATTTTGAAATCAACAGTATATACACTATTCTAGTAATCTATAGATGACTTGCCGTGCAACGTCACATATTTTTATAAACAACTTGTGCATGCATACTTGTAGGCAGAAAACATTTAAACTTTATAAGAATACATTTTTTAGTTTATTATATAAAAACACACAAGCAAGTGTTTTTTGCTTTCAAAAATTAAATTAAATTTAAAGAATTAAATAAATTTTGAAAAAGTCGAGGAGTTTTGATTGATTTCATTGGAAAATCAGATAATTTTTATAAGAGTTTCTACATTTTTAATATAGAGTCCCTGGTGTAGTGAATTAATAGTAGTAAATTGAAACTCAAGCTGGTATAGAAGACTTTATTCAGCAAATTAATAAATATGGTAACCTAAAGATACAGTCAAATTATTTTACATAAAAGAAACACAGTATTTATCAAATAACAGTAGTAAGCAATAGAAATCAGCATGCTCTATCAGCAAGTATATAGCCACTAGGTTTAAGTTTTTGATAAAAGTTCACTTTGATATAGTAATCTGTGTGATACACAACCACTCCAGCTAGCTGATAATAAACTAATTTCTATTTTTTTTATTATATACCAGTTACAAATTTAATTGTATCAATACGTTTGTAACTGAACCAAGTTTGTTATCGTAAAGTTAAAAAAATTTTCTTGCAATAAAAACTTCAGCACAATCAATAATACAGTCTTTAAACTTTTTTTTTTAAATATTTTAAAAAAAAAAATTATTTGTTATTGCTCCACAATATGGCCGAAAATCAGATTGGCAACTCTAGCAGAAAATTGGTATTATTACTTTTAAGGTATTAAACTATTGCAGGGCTACTGCAGAAAAGCAGTATCTTTATTTGATGGACTTTATTTTAGCTTTATAAGCACAATATTAAGATGGTCCTCCAACAACAATTGCAAGTGACCTAAGTTTTAACTCTTTTGAGAGAGGGCATTAAGATTCTTTAAGATAAGTCTGAATAAAATTTATTTTGTTTGTCTGATGTTAGATTTTGCAATATGTTTATTTTGTTCAAGTTCAATACTTCAACTAAGATACTTCAATACTTCAACTAAGTTTTGTGCTGCATTAATTGAAAGTAATTAAAAGTTTAAAATTCTACTTCATAAATATTGTGTTGATAATACTTAGAAATAGTAGACATTACTTGGTGGTTTGGTGTAATAATGTATAGATACAATTTGTCTGGATACTAGGTTTGATTCCATAGACTATTCTTTTATTTATGTGCTTTTGTTTAGCACCAAGAGTGCTATCCTCTATGAACAGCATTCTTCTTTACTTCTTGTAACTTCAGGGGTTTCTCAAGGTTCTATCCTTAGCTCTAAACTTTTTTAATTTACATTCACACATTTACAACCCATATCGTTCAACAGTCCGGGTTTTAATTTTTCCTTTGACGCTCTAACCATCTGAGCTATCCCGCCACGTATAATATAATTATAATAATTATAATATGTTATATCTGAGCTATCATTTATAATATGTTAGTGGAAATTCTCACATCTGAGTGGCATTGTTTGCTGCTGATACTACCATTTATTCTTGTCTTAAAAATAAGCCAACACTCTCAGATTGCTTGGAGGGGACATTTGAGCTTGAAAAGGATCTCACTTTGCTACAGCATGAGGTTCTTAGTGGCAAGTGAACTTAAACTCAGATTAAAAAAAATTTTCAGCTAATCGTGGTTGCAACAAACTTGATCTTTTTTCTTTATATTTATAAACAGTAATATTTGCGATGAGTCATATACCCTTTTGTCTTCTAGGATTATTTCTTACTTCTGATCTTTTTTGGAAACAATATATCATATCCATTGCAAAATTAGCATCTGCTAAGGTTGCATTTCTTTATCGGGCTTGCCACTTTCTTACTTACTCTATAAGTATAGAATACTGTTGGATAATCTGGAGCATATCTTCAAATGATGCCCTTTCTCATTTAGATAATGTGAAAAAACGCATTATAAATATAGTTGTATCTGCTTGCAGCCAACTTCCAATCATTGTCATAGTGTCGTAATGTTGCTTCTCTTTCTCTTTTCT